ACGCTTTCTTCTCTCTCTCTCTCTCTCTCTCTCTCTCTCTCTCTCTCTCTCTCTCTCTCTCTGATCTCTCTAAAAAAATTTTTGGAAATGATTGGTAGTGTTAATGTAATAGATGATATTAATGTTGATGTTTTAGTGAATTTAACGGTAAATGCGATTGCAAAATGTCTAGATGAGGTTGCGCCAAGAAAGAAAATTACTCTGCTAAATAAGAGGCTAGGTAAGCAATGGTTCTCTGATGAGATTCGACAAATAGTAAAACAGAGGGATGAGATCTATAAATTAGCACGAACAAGTAAGAATAAAGATGCATGGGAATTGTATCGACAACTGAGAAACAAAGTAGTTGACGAATGCAAAAAAATTAAGAGAAATTATTTAAAGTCTAAGCTGGATAAAAATAAGAAAAATCCAAAAAGAATGTGGGGATCAAAGAACTGTTAAAGGGTAATATATATAATAATAATATATACATATAAGGTAATTTACAGTGATAATGTAATGCATAATAATATATACATATAAGGTAATTTACAGTGATAATGTAATGCATAATAATATAAATAAAATGGCTAATATATTTAACAGACATTTTGTTGATAGCCTATTAATGAACATTGTAGATAATAATATGAATTTAGAAGCGAATAAGTATACGGAGTGAATTTGAAATATTTACCCGGGAAAAAAGTTCCATATATAATTATATATATATAATTATATGCAAAATATGTCCATATGTTTCTTTCCTTTGTAAAATTATTCTTTAATACAAAATTGATAATAATAAGAAGGAAACAAAAAATAATTAAAAGAATAATTGTTACATTGTTTTTTTTTACAAAAAATCAAGTTCGAAGAAATAAGAAAAATTGTTCATATATAATTATATATGTATATTTTTAATCACTTATATATGATTATATATGAGCAATTTTTCTCATTTCTTCAAACTTTATTTTTTGTAAAAAAAACAATGTAAAAATTATTCTTTTAATTGTTTTTTATGTTTCTTCTTATTATTATCAATTTTGTATTAATAAAGAATAATTTTACAAAAGAAAGAAACATATATAGACATATTTTGCATATAATTATATATAATTATATGTGGAAATTTTTTCCCCGGGTATATATATATATATATAGCTTTTATATCAAAATATTATACCGAAATAATGTCTTCTAAAAGATTATGGTACGTCAAAGACTTTGGGGGATTTTTGTAAAATTCTTAGAACTATAAATAATATGCAACCTTCTTGCTTTCTACTTATATTCTTCTGATTTTTTGTCGATTTTTGAGGTTTTTAATTTTCGCGATTAAAAATCCTGAATTCCCTGCAGACTCGCAAATCTTGGAAGTATTAAAAATTAAATTTTTGGAATAGATTCTTTGTCAATTATATATATTATATTATACATATATTATATTTTTCTGATATTTTCTTGATTTTTAATTTGCGCGTTTTTATTATATATTTTATTTTTAAAAATAAAATACATGTTATAAAATATTATAGCTAGTAGCTAAATTAATATAGTGTATAAAGGGCTCAAACACTGAAAAGAATTGATCAAACAGGAAAATAAACATAACAATTTTGTCCAACTTTCTGACTTTTTCCTAATTCCTTATCTTTAATTTTTATTTTCTTATTCCTTTCATTTCGTCCGAGCCCATACATATGCCTGTAACACACAATACACAATCGTAGATAGATTATGTGTGATTCTGCCAGGAATCATATTATCACCGAATGATAATAGAATTTATTTCGTCGGTATATTATCAATTAACAAAATCCGCCGGAGAGAGATCGCTCCGGTCATTTCGCGACTCCTCATGGCGCTGTCGCGTACCTTTATCTTCTTCGCACGCGATGGTCGCGATGCAGTGTTTATCCATCAATTACTGTCAACCATCCAAATCACCGTAGATAGAGATTTTCTCTGATTTCTCGGGCACAGATGCACATCTTGTTTCAAAATATAAAAGTTATGTCGTTGGATCAGACAGTATGCGAAGGTAAAGGGAGCACAGGTTAAAGAGGGTGACAGGTGTCGCGCTGCATTTAAAAACCGGTGTAGGGGATAAACAATCTGTCACCAGTGTGTACATTGATTATCCTCGATTAAGCGACTCCTGTCATTCTCGACTGTTGTCTCGAGTCAAAGATCAAAGGACGATTCGGTCAATTTCAGTCGGGCTCAATGACATTCTACTGAAACGTCGAAATGAATTGACTCGATCGTCGATTTTGAGGTTAATCTGTCAACCTGAAAACTTCTGCTTCTCGCACTTTTTTTTTTTTTAGATTTGAAAGCTTTCGAAAGGCGACTCACTGAAGTTATTGCCAGCCTGCAACCGGCCACCACGCGATGGAGAAGTATGTTCCTTGTAAGAGGGCTGAGCTCCTTTTTACATCCTCCAGTACTCCAGTGTTTATAACAGCATTGTGCATTTAAAATACTATGACGTAATGAGTATTCGCTAAATTTTCTAGCTGTCTTACAATTTAAGATATTTCATTATTTTGATAATGTATATGAACAGTTTGACTCGTTAGAAGCTTACCATGCATATCTAAATGTTCCTGCAATGTTGCTTAACTTTCTGGCTGTCTTACAATTTATCTGAGATATTTTATCATTCTGATAATGTACACCGAACAGTTCGACTTGTTAGAAGCTTGTCAGGTGTTCTTTTACGATTCTTCAACTTGCCTTAGCGATACGTATCTAAATTCTGTTCTTGCAGTGTTGCTGGGATTAATGTCTATTTGCACCGCCATTGGTGCTTGGCACTGGTTGACGGATCCCAACACATCAGCAGTATCCTTCACGCAGAGCTTATACAATCATCCATTCTTCACAATGGCTAGTATAATATTAGGTACTGAGAGACCTCCTATGCATTTTGCACAAGTCGATACCGCGATTGCATTGCCGGAATTCATTTTGCAGTGATATTATTTATGATGGGAGTGCATAGACGAGTGATAGCGCCCAGTATTATAACGCAGCGGGCCAGGAGCGTGCTCGGCGACTTCAACATGAGCTGCGACGACACTGGAAAGTTGATTCTGAAGCCCACGAGACCTCCACATCCTCACGAGACTTAAGAGTGTTCGCGATAGTAATTATGAATGTGGCGTGTGTACTATTTTTTTTTTCGTGCGCTACAAGATTGTCTAAAATTGTATGACGAGACGAGAATTTAGAGCTGTATATTTTAAGCCTCATGAGTTCTAGTGAATTATGCATCTGTAGTGAATGTTATGCGTGATCTCTCTTAGAGTGCATATAAAATTTATATATGTGAACACAATATACAATACGCCCGATTATGTGTGAAATCTTGGAATCACAATTTTTGCTTTCAAAGAACTTGAATGAGCGCCACTTCCTACTTGATTATTTCTCCTGGTACTCGTACGATCCGGAAGGAAGCTCAATAAAGTAGCCAGGAGATCGTAATCGAGTAAGAGATCGGCATCAGTTGCGAGTTCTGCGATTTCGAAAATTTATCTGTGGCTTCGAGTCGCGCAAGTTGACATTTAAAAAAAATTAAAACAAAAAGCCTCAAGAGAGAGAGATCACAAATGGATCGAGAGATCAGACGAGAGACAGTAAACCGAAGAAATGGTAATTGAAGTAACTTGCGATTCCAAAGGCGCCAATGTATATAACGATCAAAACATTTATTCGTCGTAATTTTCGCATATTACAATCTTCTCTTCCGATTTCAGCATATGCACAGTCACGCAATGTCTTTTTTAAAATAGTCACATGTACAACATTATAATCTATACGGACCACCCGTTCGTTCACAGTCAGATATTCGCAAGGAGTGTGTCAGTCCTGAAATCGTACTAGACTACAGTATGTAATATATACAGTGATGATTACACGCGACCACTCGGAGCGCTGTCTCCATTATGTATCTGCCGGTGGACAATGATTGGCGTATTTTGAGAAAATATCTTGTAAGACGTAACAATTGTACAGAGGTTCAATGCACAAAGTAAACACCGTCATTTTTTTCAAAAAGATGTGTTTGCATAATACATATACCACCTTATCATCAACTTCGAAAGCACCGACTAGTCTGTCAATTCTATGAATTTTGCGATAATTTTGCCGAACGAGCTGCAATCTTGCGAAACGATTGCAAAATGGGTTTTTCATTTCTTTGAAGTGTTTTTTACGATTTTTTTTTCGCAACAAGCGCACAAATAAATTTGATGTGCGCGTCGTTTACATATGTATATATTATACATATAATCCGAGATAGAGATTGCTGATGGGGCATAAAACAAGTCGCACATGTCTTACGGGATATTTCGAAGTTTTTTTTCCTCGGACTCTTGCGTCGCGTTGCATTGCAGGAACATTGTTGTCTCTCATGTCGTTAGGATATACATATATATAAGATACCCTCTCTTCTCCGTAACAATTTATTTTCATAAAAATGAATTTGTGTTTAGCCTACTTAGATACTATACGCCGTTTCGCGAAAAAGGATTCAAAAAGGAGTTAGGCAACTCGTCACTTAAAGTACAAAACCGAGAATTACGATGCACAATAGATTTTCCTTCGCGCCCTCATCGTCTTCGTATTTCATTTGTAATCGCAAGAAGAATATCGTAAGAATTTTTTATTTATACATGTATGTTTGTATAAATAAGAAATTCTCTTTCTCCCAATCAAGAAAACAATCATGAACATTATTAACAGCCTCAATAACTTTCGTTTTATCCGTTGGTACTTCCCCGTTTCGTACTTTACGCTCGCAATATACGGGGAGATTTTTGTTTTACATATATATAAATATATGTATATATAAATATATGTATATATAATATATATATATATAACAATATATACGTATATTGTTTTATATATGTTACCGTCAAAACTCACAATCCGTTAAAACCCGAATTCACTAGTTAAAACTAGAATAGCTAATTAGATGTAAAATCGAAAACCTATGTAGACAATACAATTATATCGAATATATAATATAATAGCCCTTCAATTATTATAGAGCTCGTTTCACCCCGTAAACAGGGGGGGATCGGAAAAGTTGGGCCTCGCTGTGTGTGAAAAATTAAAAACTCATGTGAAACAGTATAACTGTAGACGTTCAACTAAATTTAAAACTCGTTTTAACTAGAATGGCTAATTAGATGTAAAATCAAAAACCTATGTGGACAGTACAATTATATCGAATATATAATATAATAGCCCTTCAATTATTATAGAGCTCGTTTCACCCCGTAAACAAGGGGGGATCGGAAAAGTTGGGCCTCGCTGTGTGTGAAAAATTAAAAACTCATGTGAAACAGTATAACTGTAGACGTTCAACTAAATTTAAAATTAGTTTTAACGATTATGGGTTTTGACGACAACATAAACATATATATAATATATATACATATACATGAAATTTATCAAATGTTCCACGGTACAAAGTTACATCGACTATAATCTTTCTCGTCGTCGTACAAATCTCGTACTGTGGATCTCGCGACAAAATTCTCGCCTTACATCCGCATGATGAAACGAAGTGATAAACTATATATATATACGTGTGTGTGAACGCAACTTGCCCAAGCGCTTCCGAGCTTACACTAGTGCATGGAAAACAGATCGCCGGCGGAGGGAAGAGGCGCCAGGCCGCCGGTCACGTCGGGCAGTTGCGTTAAATCGGGAAGATTCGAAATGTGAGACTTCACCTCCGACCGAACTGCGCACACCTTCTTGAGCTTCTCTTTGTAGTCCTGCGTACGGAAAGAAACGATAGTTCTCTGTACAATACATGTATATACACTAGAACACTTGTGTGTCAGATAATAAAAAAAAAAGAAAAAAAAAGTGATCGTACCTCTAGAGTGCTTTGAGCCTGTTGAAGTAGTTGCCTCTGCGCCAGAGTGTAATCTCGCAGCATCGTCAGCAGTCTTCTCCTGTCCTCCATCTCGGCCTGCAGCCGCCCGTTGTAATCGGCGAGCAGGGCGGCGGCCTCGTTCACCGCCGCGCTCAACTGATCCGCGGCCGTTCGGTCGGCGAGATTCGCGAGCAGCGAGACCTCCGACACCTCCGGCGGTAGGGACGCGATGCGCTCCCTGACACCGGCGTCCGAGGACGCGGTGTTTTCCAGATCCTGAAAAAGAACAGAAAGCTCCGTTAATCCACACAGTGACGTTCTGGATCTTGCAAAACAACTCGCCGTGCGTGCGCGCAGAACTCTTCACTGTTCGCTACATCTAGTACAATGTACTTTGCCCTTGCTTTGTAGGGCACGAGGAAGAGCGAGCGAAACACATGGCATATCGCTGCGACGCGATTTTTTTTTATTAAAAAAAATCGGTCAATAAAAAAAAACTGAGAGCAGCAGCGAGACTAGTATTCCTTGTACTCAAGCAAAAGCACTAATCAGTTCTGCTAAGGAAATCAACATCCGCTCGATTTACTTCGCAAAAAGTGAAGCCTTCGAGGAATTAGAGAGAAAAAAAAAGAAATCTGCAAACGTAAATTCTACTTGGAATAAAAGAAAGCGGCAATACAGCTCCAAACAAAGCACGTAAAAATCGACAGGGTGGATGTATCAAGAGTTGTCAAAAGCGTCTGCTGATATGCCTCATGGATTCAACATGTATTTTCATGTGAACAAAATATTTTATTGCTAACGATACAAATTCCGTATCATGATTGTCGCTCGTATAATTGATATTAACCATTAAGGCCTTGATGAGTTCCTCGGTTTCCGGTGGGTCGCCGCCGGGGGTCCTCGGGCTCAACGTCACATGAAGCTCTTTGGTGCCGTCCACCTCCACCACCTCGGTCTCTGACTTTTTCCTTTCCTTCTTTTCCTTCTGCAAGCATTACGGGTGTATGTAGACTTCGTATATACCTTTTGTTTATCGCAATTGATTTAATCGGATTGAAAATAATCACCAGAAATTGAGAAATCATATTTAACATTATATTATATATTTGATGAAATGCTTTTATTATATCTACGAGATATATTGTGCTAAAGGCATTACATAAACTCGCACCTCACTTTCGCATCGCCATACCTTCGATGTACTTATGCTATTTTCACTAACTGAAAGTTTTAATTACACATTAGGAGCTCCCAGTATAATTTCAGAATACGCACCTTTACTTTTTCTACTTCAACTTTCGCTTTCTTCTTCGGCGGTGCCGTAGAATTCTTCTCAGATTCTGCGAAAGCTGCTTTAAATTCAGTTATCTGTGCTTTGTCATAAACCCCTCTCTCCTCCCAGATCTGCAATAACCTGTTTAACCGCTCTCTCGTCTTTTCATCAAAACCCTTCATGTGCTCGAAGGCTTTTGGCAGGACCGACTCGAATTCCTTCCCAAACTCGGGCCCTTTCTTCTTGCTATTCTGGATGACGTCATTCGCCAGATACATAAACATCAGCTTGCGATTGTCCTTCACTGTAAAAATGTAGGCAGAAAATATTAAACTGCACTCCAATCATAACTTTCGCGCGAAGGAATCAAGAGGGGAAGCTTGAATTGTACAAACAAGAGTTATAATGGGTATTATTCATTTAAATTATAATTTTTCAACTTGAGTATGAGCCTTGAGATACTTTTCACGTTTAAATGCATTCCACTTGCCTCATAATAAATTCAAATGTTATCGATACCAATTTATCATACGCTTTTGTAATAAGTATTAACTGTTATTAACATATCAGTTTTCTGTCATTATTTTTACTCGAGTGAAAGGTGACAGCGGTATTGAACGCCTTTAAAAGTGCCATTTAATATTCAAATATGGAAATTTAACATGCAACGTCAAATGTTCCCTTCTCCTCATCCTTTATATCTCAAGGGCTCAATGATTACTAAGTGTTTCTGAGCAACGACCACCGAAACAAATATCTAACCAAACTACGCAAGCATGGCATGGAAACGGCTTTCCGCGGCTACAATTGCGACTCGCACGGGCTCGTCGTGATCTCCGTGCGTCGTACACAGCAATTGCAGCGTGCATTAAATCGCGTTTGTAATTTCGAGAACCACGCGACGACGCTTGTCTCTCGTGACAACGTGCGCGTCGCGGCGTGTCCTTCCGCGTCGTCGAGCTCAGGGCGGCGCGCGTTTCGATCCGGCGGACAGGACACGACTCCTCGCCCCGTACCTTTGCACATCTCCTTGTACCAGATCTTCACGATGGTCGGGTGGTGCTTTCTGTGATGTATCAGCCAGAGCGAGAGCGTCTGGATGCTCTGCTGCGACGGGTTCAGGTCCATCAAGCGTTTGACCAGGGCGCTCTCCGTGAACCCCGTCATCGTTCTCGTCCTCGGCTGCCGTCAGCGGCTTCGTCAGCGGGGCTCGCCCTCGGTTCGGATTGCAATTGCGGAGAGCGTCGCGTCGTCGGGTACACGTATGCCGCACGCAAACGCACCGGGCACCCCGATTGCGTGAGACCGGACAACAGCTCGCAACAGCTGAATCAAGCGCAAACGTACGACGACGACGACGACGGTCGACGACGACGGCCGAGGGACGCGCGCTCCGCGCAGGCGCGCCGACGCCCAGCGCCGCCGGCGGAGAATCGCGAAATCAAATATGAATTTTGTAGAGAAGAATCTTCTGCTGGCAATCCTTTGGACGGTCGATAACTGTTGTCGATTGTATCGACCTTGCGAGACGTGTTTGCGCCAAGTGGCGCTGTGGCGGCACCATTCAAAGCTATAGCTGTTGAAGCTGTTCAGAGCGCGCACGAAGAAAATAAATATAAGGTATACTTTCTTCTTTCACTAATTTCATTATCATTTTCTATCAACCAGACCATGGTTTTTCAAATGTTTTCAAAAGTTTTTCTTTGTTTTAGGAATATCGCGGAGCGGAAAACTTATACTTCCTAACAGGATGGGCGTCAAAGGCCTAAGTTATTTATTTTTCCAAAAAAAAGTTCAGCGCACTTCAAATTGATGATTGCGAACTGCAGAAGAACCAAATTCCAACAGTCGGATGAATTTTAATTAATTTGAATCTTGTCTGGTTCTGGACTGAATTGATCTAATCTCCAATTTGCAATCGTCGCAATTTCCAATGTGTGTCTGTTGATATAGGCTTTAGAAACATGGTCGTTTCTTCTATTTTTTTACATGAAATCACGTATGTAATTTTTCTTTTCGCATGTTTTGTTTTCGATTTTCTAATTACTTATCAATCAAATAGTCCATGACCGATGGCGTGAAACGGCTCAGGAAGAGATATACAGTTAAACCGATTTAGAACAATAATTTATTCGTATATAATTAGACCTTATTAGAGACGGCTATATATATATGCCTAATGGACAAGTTACTGTATATACAGTACGTACGATTTTTTTTCGAAACAATAACTTATTTCGTACAGAACTATTTTACCGCTATATATATATATATATATATATATATATATATATGTCTAATGGACAGGTTATTGCGTCTCCTCTTAAATAATATCAATGATCTCGTCGCTTATGCATCATTAATTAATGTAAATCGATACAACATTTATAACATATTTCCTGCTATATTTGCGCAATATTTACAAATTTTATTCACGAAGATACAGATTATAGCATCTTATCGAGTTCAGCACCCGATTGTAACAAATCTAATTGTAATTAATCACTTAAGCAGTCGTCTCACTTATGGAACGCAGTTAGAAGTTAACAAAACAAAATACACTAAATGTTCAATATTACAAACGTAATATTATATAAAAACTAGATAAATGAAGAATTTAACGTATTCAAGATAATTTAATATCTTTCCTCTAACTTCGATTCTCTCAGAACTTTCCTACAAAATTTCCGAGAGTAAATCATTTGTGGTTGAAAGAATCTCAAGGCAGATCGAAATGTTTCGCGTTTATAAAGAGACTAAAAATCGATTTTGTGCACCAATATCTGAGATTTGGCACGCGTCGGATTTTCCTTCTTCTCTTTCAGTTTACGAAATTTTTTCGAAGTTTAGGTATTAGCGTATGTAAATTTAACAACGTTCAGCATCGTTTATATACATACATGTGTATGTATACAAGTGTGCATGTATTCAAGACATACATCATGATTGCTTTAATTTTGGCAGTCGGTCGGAGCTTCGCTGGAGCAGCCAGACGTCTGCCGTTCATCGAAGCATTCGGAAAAAAACGAAACGATTGAAATTAATCTACAGCACTATACTTCTACAATTCAATAACCATAAGAGTAAATATATACGTTTGCACGAAACGATGTAGAATGAACTAGTCTCTCATCTCAAACTTAACGCAAAAACGAACCTATAATGTTCCTTGAAAACCCCTGGACATTCTAAACTTGAAGTTGATATAAGAATCGGGAGGATAAACGATATAAAAAGGTAACCTTATATCGCAATGATCTTACATCGAAATTTTTTTTTATCGATATACAATATAGTAAAAAACTAACCATCTGGAATAATTGCAAGAACGGCAACTTTCTCCCCTAATTAATACTGTATCGAACTTCACATCAGCCCTGTCCGCAAAATCGATGCCTATTTCTAGGCCAATATAGATTAACTTCAATCTTGATTTAATTTATTCCTCATATCTTTAGACTCTCGTATTCTTACTCGTTTCTAATTTTCAGAACTAGAAAAAGATAGCGAGCAAGATTAAACCGAGACTAAAGTCAATCTACGTGAGCAGAAATGGGCACGAGAGACTTCGTCGTAGAGAACGTCCGCCGCTTAGAACGACGGTGGCAAACTTAATAATTGAATAACGAATTCCTAATAATCAACTAATCCTAGAACGAAACGCTGACCGAGGGAGAGTCACGACTCCATCCTGCCGGACGTCGCCTCGCCGTCCACCGCCTCTGTCTTCAGCTTCTGCTCCTCTCGTCCGACCTCCTCGTGTTGTCCCACCTGATCGTCCACGTTCACTTCCTCCTCCTCCTCCTCCTCCTCCTTGCCGCCTTGCACCACTTCCTCCTTCACCGTTACGCCGCCGTCGCGCTTCTCGGTCCCGCGAGCGCTCTCGACCGACGGAGGGTGGATCTCCTCCCCCGGACGGTGGAAGGTTAGCACGTGGTGGTCCAGTTCCGCGCTGAAGAAGAACTTGAGCGTGCACTTGGAGCAATCGTACGGTCGCGCGTCCAGTCCGTGCTCCTGTAGCATGTGATTCTGCGAACAGATGCGAACAGATGTTCTTTTGTATCTGAATTCCAAACTGATTCCAAAAAAATATGGAGTGGAAACACCATTTGATGTTTATATAATTCTCGCCATGTTAGTTTAGGAATTCGTTATTCAATCACATATTAAGTTTGCCACCGTCGTTCTAAGCGGCGGACGTTCTCTACGACGAAATCTCTTATGTCCATTTCCGTTAATGTAGATCGATTTTAGTCTCGGTTTAATCTTGCTCGTTATCTTTTTCTAATTCTAAGAATTTGAAACAAATAAGAATCTAAAGATGTAAGGAGTAAATCAAGATTAAAGTTAATTTATACATATAGCATATAGATTTATATAAACACCGAATGGTGTTAAATCCTGCACACTCGCATTTTTTTAAATAAAAAGGAACGAAATAATAAACTCCTCTTTTTCGATATATGACATTTATATGTTTAATTTATGTGAAAGAATGTTGATTTAAATGATAATATGAAAAGAACAAAAAATATGCAATCTCGCCACAATGAGCCATCGTCTATAGTCAAGATCCACAAGAAAAAGATCTGAACTCGCACGAAATGTTTGCGAATCAACAACGATTGCGAGTCAAATTTTCGCTCAAAGAGTAGCGAATTAATTTGTTTTAATGATAATTCGTTAGTTCTGCGCTTGTTTTCGAGGTAGTTTATCAGACCGTTTTCTTCCCTGAGAGTCCACGGTTGTTACCGTAAACGCGCGTGAATAACTGTTATTTTACGTTTGAGACATATTAGCAGTCAGTTAAATTACCTGAAGGCCAACGGGAGTTGTGAAGAGCGACTGGCAGATGTAACAGCTAAGGGCGGTACAGCCGGCGAAAGTGTGCTCTATTAAGTGAATTTGCAGCTGCATAGGACTGGCGGCCTCGAATAGGCACAAGTGACACCGTAAAGCCTCCAAGGAGGCTTTCCCGGACGCCTCCAAGTGTTCCTTCCTCACGTGTTGCTGAATCTTGGCTTCAGTTGGAAACGACACCTAAGAATATATTTTATCTTTTGAAAACTACATTAACACTTAAAGATATGTATAAATTTAAAAAGATAATATCGTCTTTAAAACAAAAAAAAAGGGAAAAAATCTTATTAATTTTTAATGGAAATCTTTAAAATTCAATATCCTATATTTTTATTAGCATAATATTATCAATTAATTATAATCTAATTTTAATACGAGTCAATTAAATTTTTATTTTTTTCAGAGTTTAATTTTTTTCATTATTATTATTATTATTATGAAATAAAAATGGGATTCTTTTATTGGTATATCTTAGAGTTTATACTGCAACTCTACTTTTTACTACAACTCTTGTTATAAATAAAAGAAGTAAAAAAGGGCCAACGAGCCAAAGCTTGGGTGTTATATCGCTCCAATATGTATTTATTAATTTAACAAATTCATTATTTGAATAACAATGTTATTCAAATAATGAATTTGTTACTTTTTTACTTCTTTTTTACTTCTTTTATTAATATTGGAATAATTTGGAGCCTTGACTTTAAATTTTATTTTAATTTTAATCTTGTTATAAAATTATGTAAAATATTCCATACTAACTTGACACTGTATACAGGTGTAGGTATTCGAGGCGCTGCCAGCGGGCTTTTCGTGCTCGGCGATCCTGTGCTTCTCCGCCTCTTCGGGATCCTCGAACTTAACCCCGCACTCTTCGCACCGTTTCTTATTCGCGTTTCCTTCGCCTCTGGACCGATCCTCCGCCTTGAGTCCTCTCTCGTGATCCCACTTGTCCTTGGGTTCGTCCCACTGGCCGTCCTTGCGCGCGAGCCAGGCCGCCTCGTACTTGGCCCGGTGCTCGTAGGTCGTCGAGTTCAGTATCGGCAGTCCTTGGGAGTGTCGCATGTAGCACGGCTTGCAGACCCGGAGCAGCTGTCCGCTCGTGCTGGCAGGATTGGGTGGCAGATTGACAAAGTCCTCGGCCGCGAAGTCGCGCAGGCAGAGGCAGCAGCCCTGACCCTGGCCGTTGCCGCCGCCGCCCCCGGGACTGGTGGTCGGGCTGGCGCCGGCGCTGCGCGTGCTACCCGACGAGGACGTACGCAGGTGATGCCGCGCGTGCAGACGACACTCGAGGTCGCTGATCAGCGTCTGCCGGCAGACGACGCACGGCGCGGGCAGATGAGGCAGCGTGCTGTCCAGCCGCTGCTGCGGATCCACGTTCTCCAGGCTGTGCCTCTGCACGTGGTCCAGGAACTGGCTCTCCGACGTGAGGCAGCCGCGGCACACCACGCACGTGTCGCTCAGCTGGATCTTGCAGTGCTTCTGGAGCTTGTGCTCGGCGAGACTCGCGCCGGACGGGCACACCTCGTCGCAGATGTTGCACTTGTGACGGCCGCCGGGCTCGTTGGACGCGTGCTGGATCCTCGTGTGAGATTCCAGCTCGCTCCGCGAGCGGCAAACCTCGCCGCAGTAGCCACACGTCATGCTCAAGGTAGACAGAGCCTTGTTGGACAGCTTGGGCGGCGTGTGAGCGAGCTTCTTGTGTGCCTGCAGCTCGGCCTCGTTCGCGAATTCACCGCGTTCGCAGAGCTCGCACTGCTGACCGGCAGTGCTGTAGTTCAAGCGTTTGTTGTTGTTGTCGCGTTGGTTCACGGAATTGTTGTTGCTCGAAGCTGGCGAGCGGCCCCTCTTCAGAGATTTCGCCTGGGATTTGGAAAGAAAACTTCATTTCGCGAATAATCTTACGCGTATCTTTTAATTATACAGAATATTTCTGTGTGATGAAACTATAGGACAGAATTTCTTTTAATTATTTAAATCTACAGAATTTAAATGTCTAAAAAATATATATATATTTGTGTTTAAATGTAAATTTATCTCTAAGTTTATTCTTCGTTTACGTATAGCAATTAATTATTTCTTGCTTTATCTTTTTGGCTCTTAACAAAGGCTGATACGATCCGTGGTAGCAGTTGACGTAAAGTTGCCGTCGGATTCTGGGGAAATCTTGCCGATGGTCCGCGCTGCGTCCAACGTCATCGGAAATGTATTTCGAATCTATTACCTGGATTCTTGATTTCTCAATGAGCACTGATCAGTTACTTATTGTTTCAATCGACAGGAAAATCTTCGCCGAGAAATTCGAGAAATTCGTGTTCCGATAAATGGATCAATCGATTGGGAGACCCGGAATCCGGACGATTTCGAAACGGGCGGTGAGCTTCGGCGAGCTAAACGGCCATAAACACACTCGTTCGCGGATATATACCTACATATCTATGTATATACGTATATATATCTATTGACGGATATCCGAATAAATCGCGTGAGAAATCCAGAATCGAGGTAATAGATTCGAAATACTTACATTCCCGATGGACGTTAGGCGCAGCGCGGGCCGTCGGCAAGATTTCCCGAGAATGGCGATAATCCGACGGCAACTTCCTATCGACGCTACCCACGGTTTATCCTATCGTAATTAAGGTTCATTGCCCTTTAATCTCATTTTTAAAAATTTTCATTTTTTTTACCGTAACAAAACTTCTTACATCTTCCTGACTTCTAGCCGGTCGATGAACGCGCCCGTTCTCCCTGCTTCTGACCGACGGCGCCTGATGATGATCCTGCGCCGCCTGATGATGTACCTGGGCGACGTGCCGGTCCAACAGAAACTCCACCGCGAAACCCTCCCTGCAGATGGGACATCTGTAGAGACTGGCCGAGTGGCTGGCTAGGTGTAGCTGAAGCTCGAGCTCCGAGCTGCAGCAGGTCGCGCAGAAGACGCAGCGCGTTGCGATCACGCCGGGCGTCGAGGCCGGGCTCCTCGTCGCGGCTCCGACGGGGCTGCTGTTCAACAGGGACGACGGGGCGACGGGCGGAGGGGCGTGTACGTTGCGCACGTGGGCCGCCATCTCGGCCTCGCTCCTGAAGAAGCTCCTGCCGTCGCCGGGTGGAGCCGCGTTCGACCCCGGCGGCGAGTTCTCGTTGTTGGACAGCGAGTAGCACACGTTGCATCGATAGATCCGGCACTTCTGGCTGTGCTTGACCGCGAAGTGCACCTGTATCGCCACCTTGGAGTCGAACGTGTCGCGGCACAGGGCGCAGCGGTAGAGATGATGCGCGTGGGCGTCCAGCAAGTGTCTCTGCAGCTGATCCGGATGCGGATAGAACTTCTTACAGGCGCCGCACGCGAATTCCTTGGTGGTTTGGCCAAGGTAGTGCTTGGTCAGGTGGGCCAGCATGTCCTCGCGGGCCGGGAAGACGGTGTCGCACTTGGGGCACAGGTGCTGCCTGCTGGACATCTCCTGATTGCGATGATCGGCCTGCAGGTGCCGGGCCACGTGCTCGCGAAAGGACTCGAAGTCCTTCAGCGCGGCGTCGCACTGGCCGCACAGAAGAGTGTCGGCGGTGTAGCCGCCAGCGGCGTCCGCGGACGGCCGGGTCGTCGGACGTTTGTTCGTGAGATCGGCGGCCTCCGGGGCGGCATCTCTGCTCCGCGGCATCCTCGAGTCCCTCGCCGGCGCGCTGTTGTAAACCCCGTTCAGTTTCGTCTCGCTGTAGTCTATACCGGCCGCCGGCGCCGGTCGACGATTCTCGCAGTGCTGGAGAACGTAGTGCTCGGCGTAGGCGGCCGTCGAGGTGCACGGGATGCCGCACAACGGGCATATCACCATCGTCGCGCTGAAGCCGCCGTCAACTCGGTGTATCGACAGCGAGTGATCGCGCAGGCAGGCCAGGGTGGAGAACTTCATGGTGCACTGGTTGCAGGTGAACGCGTTCTCGTAGTGGTCCCGTTCGCCGGCGGGCCGGTCGACCCTCTCCTCAGGCGGGTACTTCCGATCGGCGCGCAGGTCCTTCGCGCCGCGATCCTGGCGATCCTGGGGCGGCTTGTCGCGCGAGCAGAACACCGCCTGTTGCTCGCTCGACGTCCTGCTCGGCGAGGGCGGCCGCGTCAGACCCTCCGCGCCGCTCAGGATCGCCTGGTGCATCGTGCGCACGTGCATCTGCAGCTGCTGCATGCAGCTGAACGAGTCCCGGGTGCAGTACATGCAGGCGAGCTTCAGGGGCGAGTTGAGGATCGGCGTGGTGGAGGCGCTGCCGGTGCCCTGGGACGTCTTCAGGACGTTTCGCGGGTTCAGGCTGAGATTCAACGACGGCGACGGCGACGACGGCACCGGCGGCGACGACGTGCTGTGCGAGGAGACGCTTCTCCGGCCGTAGTCGACGTCCTGGTGCTTGCCGGTCGGCTGAGACGACGACGACGACGACTGGTGATGCTTCTTGTGGGACTGCATGTGCGACGTCAGAGCCGCGGCCGAGCTGTAGCCCCTCGTGCAAGCCGTGCATTGGTAAGGCCTCTGGGTGTCGTGCGTCTTCAGGTGGATCTTCAGGTGATCGCTGAGAAAAATACGAAATACTCGTGTTCGTGAGCTCGTGGCGGCTCGTAAGTATGGTTCGAAGCGCCGCGCCTAAATCGAGATACGTATAATAATATACGACAGAACTGAGTCGATACTCGATAATTGAATTATTAACTCGGTCACGTATGTAAACGGGCTAAATGGAATGACTAATAAAAGATATCGTGCAAACGAGATGAAAAGTGAAATGATACTCGATACACTCTACTTTCAAATAACATTTTCCGTATGCATTTGTACGCATTAAAAAGCATTTAAACGTTGAAAACTTATTAAATCGCGCGATGAGAATAACAGTTTTACGGTGAAGTGGTGTGCACGATAAAATGTTATTTAGCTGTCCGTTTATCAATTGATCAATTCCAATTGTGTATTTTAAATTGTCGAAATAAATTACGAGGTTCCACTATTCTGAGATTAAATCAACCGCTTTTTACAATCCTGACGTCCCTCGCGATCATCACATATATCATTCTCGGAATAGATGACCGGTGTGCCACCGGTCCGACTTACCTTTAAAACGTTCAAATTGCCATTCGTTGTACAGATCGGAGGGATCTAATTCAGGAAATTCTATTTCCTGTAATACGTGACGAGTCCATGTATATTAAGGCTCGTCAGGAGCACCGCTCCTGTCAATCACACTTTGAAAATAGATTCACTCCGCCGGAGATATTTCGATCACCGGCGCGGAAGTCGGACATAAAACTAATCGGTTAGCGCGGCGATCTTTTAATAATGCCGCGGGACGTGCGATCGATAATGCTAATTTATCGACGGTTATTCGGTAACTCGCTCTTCTTCGAAGCGCGGGTAAACTCGCGTTTTAATATCGGACCGGGTTTTATCGCGGTGCGATGCGATCGACAAAAGTCCCCGAGTATCCGCCGAGGGAAAGAATTAAACGACGGCGAATTCGATTAAGAGCGGCAACGCGGGAAACTTAATAAAGACGGACGGGCGGAGCTCGTCGCGCGGCTTGCTTGAAAATATTTTCCCTCCTCCTCGCTAATTAAGTGTCCCCGCTAATAATTAAGTGAAACGCTGAATGTGTTACTTAGGTCGGAGGGGACATATCGACGTTCTGGGTGACCACCGCTGTTAAGCGCGCGATGCCGTTTTTCCGCCGCGTTTTGGGGAATAAATATATAAATAATTCTCGCGTTAAGAAGGGCATCCAGTTATAAAGTCATCTTCGTCGTATTGTCGCCGTATTATTGCCGTATTATACGAGACTATATTAACGTATGAATTTTAAGCGCCATCGATTCTCTTCCGTATTTAAATGTGCAAGAGCCGCATAGGAAATTGTATTAATCCGCGTTGAAATAATGGGATAATGGAGTTTATGCTTAAGTGTTCGATATTAATTATTTAGATATTAATTACTCTCGACCTGTATATATATTTTTCTTAACGTTAAATGGTGTTGAACGGGAATTCGAAAATCAGGAAAACAAAAGTTGAGAGACATCGCCGCGCATTCGCGATTCTTCGTGGAACAAATGAGAAAAATAGTTCGTAGGTACTTATATTGTTTCTTAAATAATCGACCGCGGTCTCTTCGCTCAGACGTCCGCCAATCGATAACGGAGAACGGATAACTGAAACTAATACGATCCGCGCGAGTTTATTTATTATGTTCCTTGCAGAGATGCATTTTCGATCAACTATGAAACAGGGAAAATATTCGACAGCCACGGGATCTATCTCGCGTCGTATTTTCGCCGCGATTTGCTTCGTCCAAGATGCGCGCATCAAAGATGCGTTTTTCGATCAGCGCCGGCATGAATAAACAGAGATCCTGGGACATATCGAGCCCGGGGTAACTATTTTCACCGAGGTTCGCCGCGGATTGGGTGAAGTCTCTGAAGTCTCTACGATAAAAAAGAAATGAATATTTCAGTCGCGATTATTTTACTTATCGTAACAAGGAGAGCGTCCGATGACACGAAAAGACACATTTATAGCATCGAATGTATAATGTTGAATATAGCACCGCGAGAGAGAAAGAGAGAGAGAAAAATTGCGGAGATTTCGGACGTGAGTCAAACCCGGGTAACGACTCCGGTGATTTTCGAGCCCGATGAATAATTCATCGGTGGCCGGTGTGTGTACGTCGGTCCAGGTCGCGGCGACGGCGGCGGCGACGCGGCGGAAAACTGAATCCGCGAGCGTTTAAGGCGAGGATGACGCGAGGTTCGGTACGAGGAGGCGCGACGGTCAAGCGGGCTGTCTCGGGCACGCCGAAACGAAGACAGACGGCAAATTTACTCCTGCACTTTGCGCCTGAATTATTCATGCGCCACCAGGATTATCGCCCGGGTGAACCGCGATGCTGTCCTATTATCGAGCGTATCGTTTCGCGGCCGACAGAGCGCGACTGACGACGATGCGAGGAGGAAAAAAATATGGGGAAAAAAGTAGAGAGAGAGAGAGAGAGAGGGAGAGAGAACCGAAAGAGTACGACTCGAAAGCGTCGCGCTAGCTTAACGAAGAGAATGGACCGGCGACGAGTCCACATCGGTCGCGCCGATATTAAATACTATTCGCATATTTCTGTTTTGACACCGTTATTTACGCAGCATCTCGCCGACGCGACGTGTCACCTTCGACGAGAGACGATAAGAGATGACATTCGGATGGTGAAGGACATCCACGGATGCGGAGTATCCGTTCGCGACGCTTATTGATATAATATTCTTAATCTTCAGTACATAAAATTGGGTCATTTGTGTTATAATCAGTTATAATATTTATATACAATTTTTTTTTAATATACAACCTTACAAATACTTTTTTAAAGATGTTAAAGTACCTATAATATGCAAGAATCACTTAATTCTTGTACACTTGTAAAAAAAATGATGGAAATTAATTCGAAGAAATGAATGACTCTCGTTTGTAAATTGTAGTAAAGGATCGTCGTGTGAAAAATTATCATGTGTATGTACTAACAATAAGAATTAAGCGAAAAATTGCGTTCGCGATAATTGCATAGCAATAAATCAAAAACTGATTTCATAGTCCGAATGTTTAAAAATTATAATGTTCTGTCAACATTCTTTAGTTTCTCTTATATCACGCGATAATATACTATAATAATAACTAAACAGTACTGAGAAATATTTTTAACACAAAAAATATTTTTCATGTTGTTGCGGATCGTGTGCGAAATAATGTGTTGTTTTGATTCAGCAATATTTTATATTTCGCTGGCCTATATCGATTTAGAAAAATGCAAAGAAGCGCAGCTAAGACAAACAAGTCTTATTTTCTCGCTTGAAACAATATCAGATTTGGCTTGTCCAAGATTGGAAGGATATCGAGAAGCACAGTAACTGAATTATTTAATATTGTGCTGCAAGAGATCCTTTCCAACAGACTCTGTAGTATCTATTGGAATCGGTATTTTAAAAATAAGGTTTCCATAAAGATTTGTATCTTTAAAGATTAATTCATACATGAGAAAAATACTTTATCTTTAAAGCTATTTGTCATTACTTCGAGAGGAATAAATCTTAAAATAATGACTTATACTTGCAATCTCAAGATAGCTTGGGATAACTTTAGTGATAGAAAGAGTGTCAGAGCTTTCATAGTGATTTGACCGCCCGATTCTTGAAAAAACGTGGAGTTCAACCGCGTAATGGCGGGCAGCCATTATACAAGAAGAAGATCGCGTTTGGGGTGCTGAAAGGAAATGGAAATAAATGGTCCGTTAAACTCCACCCTCGCCAGTCCAAAGAATCACCCTGTCACGGTGATTCGTGGGTGCGTTAACGTATACTCGATCTCCGTTCTCGTCAGTCTTGAAACGTTCATTTACTCCGTAAAGATTCAAGTATCTACGAATCGTTACTTGCAATCCAGTCTTGATTTCTACTTTTTCGTTGTACAATTTTTTAAAATAGTTAATATCAATTTATCAATTTATGCCTACATGGAAAGAACAGTTATGCTGAAGAATCTGAAAATTTAGCTAGATACAAATTTGAAAATAATTTTGCTGTAACTCATCAAAAAAATTATGTAAAATGCTCAAACGTGGCAATAATGCAAAAAGTTTGCAACATTATTATCGCGTTTGAGCGTCCTACATATAATTTTTGAAGGCCCACACAAAAAAAATTATTTTCTAATCTGTATCTATAGCTAAATTTTTAGATACTTCAGCAAAACTGTATAACAGGTCCTTTTTCTGTCGACGCTCGATTTGCGTGTCTACAGCAGTATACCTGCGTCGATACTTGATTAGTCGACTGTGTAAAAAATTGTACGCATTATCTTTATTTATTGATGCAAAAAGATAATAAGCACAGGCGGTCGACTGAAAAGATAGACGTCGGACAAAAGAAGCGGAGGGCACCCGTCAATACCGTGGGGGGGGGTGGGGGAGGAAGGGGGTCGAATCGTGACTCCCGGTTGGCATCCGAGGACCATGAGAATTACGAAAAACTGCCGAGAAAATCTCGATCTTGCTGCCGCATTCCGTAAGAATAAAAACATCGCCGTGAGACATGAAGTTATTCGTTGAGATACGTAAGATCCCGCGATTAGTTTCGGTCGAACTAGACCTGACTTTGACAAGTTAAGACATTGATTCCAGTGACTTAAAACAAACATATAGCTTTGACCATAAGTATAAAGCACTCTTAATTTATTGCACTTCCTTAGAAAAAGTAGTAATAAAAGCCAAAGGAGAACTAAATATCAAAATTATTATAGAAACAAATATTAAAAATAAAAAAAACAGTTTTATTAAAAATAAATATTATTTTCAATAAAACTGTTTTTTTTTTAAATTTATTTATCGTTAGATATGGAATGTTTACGTCAATTTGTGAGAGTGCTTTATATATGATCAAGACTGTATTTTTTAAAAGGTTTCTTGGAGAAAGGAAATTTTCGAAGTTAAAAATTTACAACAAAGGCAAATAATTTTTTCACAATACGTTGCTCGATTAGGTATTGATTCTCAAGCTATGAATAGATTTTCTAATATTTTTTTCTAATATTTTGACCTTATTGAAGTTCCTCGCGCGGGTTAACGAGAGCGCATACTAACGATCGAAATGATACATCGTTGCGTGTCCGCAATCTGTCATAAGCGAAAGTCACAGTTAAGGGCCGACAGATCTCTCGCGCGTTGCATACGTGGCGTGAGAACCACGGAGATTTTCACCCTTTTGTTGGGTCACCCAAACCGATGGCTAAGGTGGGCGGACGAATAGAGACGTGGCGTAAAGATCTCGCGGTGCGATTATAATAGCGGCTGACAGGTGAGGAGCAAAGACTTGTTAGGACTTCATCCGAACGTTCGCGGGCGGAAAGCTTCGGAAAAGAGAGAGAAATCTATAAATAGATTTGAAAAAAAAATCCCAAGCGTAGAACAAGAAGTCATGATGACATCAAAATGGTTCTAAAATAATTCTTAAAAGTCACTTTCGATCAATCACGACTTATTTTAATATCATTTTGACGTTATCGTTGTGTAACTTGTTATTCTGATGAATTTGTATATAGGAAACAATCGTTTTTTTATAACGTTAATTTAATTAATAACGCAATTACGTGTAAAATGTAAGAATAAAATAGTCAAATCTCAAAAATTTGCGATTTTAATTAATTTACAGCGCAAATTCGTTGATGCTTCAACCGCGAAATTCCGGAATTTCTCATGCACGTTTCGGTCTCAGAGGGAAGCTAACGGCGGAAGTGCGAGGGACTCTCAGTTTCGTCGGTCGCGAGCGCGACTTTAACGGCCGGCGAAGGCGGACGAGCGGCAACGAGGCTCTTGACTAATGTTCTACCTGTTGTCCCGTAACACCTATGCGTCCTACCTGTCCGCTCTCTCGGCCGGGGCCCCGCGGGGGCCCGCGTATACGCGAGCGCACACGCGTGCATATACACACGTGTGTCAAGTTAGAAAAAGGTGCTTCGCGCGCGGGGGCTCAGCTTAGCATTTCAATGCGCGCAGGACGATTCAATGCCGTGCGTGCGTGCGTGCATGCGTGCGCGCAGGAGAGAGCCTGTGTGCTCTCGCGTGAGAAAGAGGGAAACAAACAGCTAGGCGATGAGAGAGAGAGAGAGAGAGGGGTGCGAGAGGGGGCAGGAAGAAAGAAACGTAAGAGAGTAAGCTTGACTAATGCCACCCGGGACCGCGGTCGTCGTGTGATCATTACTCATTTGTCACCCGTTGGATCGGGGTCCCCTGGAATCGGCCGGTCGGGCCCCGTCGGGCCCCGCGCGCGCCGCGTCGCGTCGCGGCACCGACGAGCACCGGCAGCACCCCGTCGAGGCAGCGCCTCGTTCGACCATCCGTTGCGTTTATGGCCTGAGCCAGCGCGATTATTTCCTTTACACCCTGATGATCCTTTACTGATTGCGTGCGTGTGTTTTATGACATAATCCGTAAATCAGATCTCATTGTCGATCGACACGTACGAAATTTGGAACAACTAGGTAGGGTTTTAAAGTTCGAATCTTTACGATTTGCGACGTCTAGTTGACTGTTGGCGACGTGAACGACTCTCATGAGTTATCGCTTAATGAATTTTGGTGGTCGATGGCAAAGCGCATATTTTGGAGACTAGATTCTCGTGCTTACCTCCTGGAGAAGGCGGCCTCACATTTCGAGCAGCGGTATCGCCTGTCCCCGGTATGCAGCTTCACGTGACGATCGCGGCTGCGCTTGTGCTTGAACAGTCTGTTGCACCAACTGCATCGATACGGCATCTGATCGCCGTGGCTCTGCAATCAATACAATCGTCGTGTAATGCAACTACAGCAGTTCTTCAGATTAAACGATATTTTGTTCGTAGAAATAAAAAAAAAGAATATAAATAATCGTAACTGTATAGTTATAAAAGTGCTGCGACGATATTGCAATAAAACTGTAAATTTTTCACGAGATTATCATATTTTTGAAGCTTTTACCAAAAAAAATCATGGAATTCAATGGAAATTCTGTACATCACTTGGAACGTTTTATTATTTATTTTTCTTGTTATAGAATCACGTAATTCTAGGATATTCTAGGATTGTGCAGGTTAAAAATTTGTTACGTTAAATATAATAAAATAAATTAATTTGTTTGATTATATTTAACGTGCCAATTTAATATCTAACAATATTATACAACAATAATATTAATACATTCTACATATAATACCATTACTTTTAATTTATATAAAATTAAATAAAAATTCATGGAGATTACAAATCAAAAGTCTCAACCAAATCTGGGAAGGACATTTGGCCGATTTTGCTTAACGTCTCAATTATACTCTACACGAGAAACTTTATCAAGCGCGCGAGAGAAGAGAGGAGAGTCTCGGTAGAAGAGAAGCTTCACGGAGCAAGAAGAAGAAGAAGAAGTAGCGTCGGCTCTCTGTCGGGACGCGTCACCCAGCCAGATCACGGTGACCGATATGATCCCATACGGTCACCTTCTTTGTGCCGCGCGCTCCCGCTCGCGGAGCTAAAACGCTTCTCCGTGCCGCTCCGGCTACGAAATGGTCTCGCGACGAGGTAAGTAAGCTCGGCACGTAGCGACGAGACCGCGCCAGACGGACTTTCGAGCCGTCGGCTCCTTTGAAGAGACAATCTGGACGATGGGGCGAAGCGATCGCGCCGCCTCGGTCTCTCTCTCGGCCGCGGCCGGGAAGGACCACCGACCATCGGACAACTCGCGAAAATGGCGACGAGAAGGCCTCCGCGGACGCACGGAGGCTGTTCGATAATCGGACAACAATCAGACATTAAAAAAAAAAAACAACGAACTTGTAAGAGAATTCGACCGTACGATCTGGATGTCAAAGTGCATCATCGATGAATTATCGATTGGCTAACAATAAGTAAATCTTATCAAAGCCGCTTCTTTTATCTTCATGGACGTTTGATCTCGAAAAATCCGTGGTATCTTGGGAATCTTTAAAATTCAGCCGTTCTCGCGGATCTGTCAACGTTACAACTTCGCGATACGACAGGCCCGCGAAGGATTGAGATTACTCGCCGCGATTGTCGGTGGAGTAAAGCCAGCATTGTGCGTAGCATAAATAGACAGCTATCTACCTAGACTCACGGGTACTCGTCTTGATTATCGGAGTCGTATCTGCGCGCGATTCAGCTCGCGTATAATATATATATATGTACGTACGTTCAGCAGCGGGCTTTCGCGAAAGGAAGGAAGGAGCGGAGGAGGAGGAGGAGGAGGAGGCCGAAGGGACGGCCGCCACCTGGACGAATAACCTGATAACCGGTACAACCTGTTATGGGCACAACGCTACAGATTCTGACCCGATGATGACCCCCGTGCCGGCCGGCCTCGGACGCGGAAGAACGGGCTAATGCCACCGCCATGCAAAATGAGAAAAAAAAAAGATCCGAGAGGAGAGGACACTTTCGCCACGCGCGTCCCTCTTCCACAGGCAGGACCGCCTCGCGCGCCGCGCTCACTCGCAGGACACTTGCGGCGCGGAAACGCGTTAACCTGCCCCGCGCGCGTTTACGGGACTCGTCGACCTCGCGGAATCACACCTCGGACTTTTTCTCACAGAAGGCGCGAGATGAGAGGAGAGCTCTCTATAACTCGCGTCGCGACGTGCGTGGCGCGCATACTAATGCGCGTGACGAACGTCGATCCTTTTGGTTTCGTATTCTTTTTTCTTTTTTCGACGACTGACCTTGCGTCTCTTACGCAAATAGACGCGAGATACTTGAGGTTACAGCGATTTCTACTAACATCAGAAGCATCAGATGCGGGAACGCACGAACGTGGAAGATAATGTACGTTATCGCGAGAACGAAATGAAACACTTGATCTTTCTCTTTATCGCGGTAGATCTTTAATTTAAATAGATGATCTGTAAATATTTTAAATAAAAAGCTTATAAACCATAAAGATCTCTCTCTCTCTCTCTCTCTCTACATGGAAAAAACGATTTTTTCTCAAAGGAAAAATTTAGCTAGCTCTGAAAATAATTTTGTTAAACCATCAAAATAATTATAAGATGCTCAAATTGCAGGTTGTCAAAATGTTAAAACTTTTGACAGCATTGCCCGCATTTATTTGAGCATCCTACATGATTAATTTGATAGTCGAATAAAATTATTTTCAACAAAATCATATTGCAAGTAACTATATCCGAATTTAGATGTACATTTACAATTTTGATTTTCAATTAAAACGAGTTATTTCAGTCAGGAAATATCTGGTGAGCGGGGAAATTGTTGAGCCTGTCATCCTTACCTGTTCGTGTTTCTTCAGGTAGCTGAGCCGCGGGAACGTCCTGTCGCAGAATTGGCAAGGGTACGGGGCAGCGGGATTATTGCCGTCGGGATTGACGCCGACGTCGGCGTCAACCTCCGGCTCCGACGGAAAGCTGGCCGATGTCGGTGTCGCGCAGGACGACGGCGTCTCGCCGCCGCGACGCGAATTGGGCCCGCCATCCTCGCTGTGCCACGAGGAGCTTCCGGTTCCTAGGGCCTCTGAAATCAATGTGGAACAAGAACCTCAATAACGCCTCGATAATCGATTCGACGAAATTTTTTCTATTGATCCTAGATGACCTTTCAGCATCTCTCTCTTTTTGCAAGTGTTGCAAGAAGAGAACGCTTTTACATTCACCTACGGCTTACGAACTCGTCGTGCGTACGCTAACGATGTTACGGATCCGGCCGGTCTCACCTCGCCTGTTACGTGTCCCTTTATATCGTTCGCGTAACGAGCGGAGACGGTAAAACTCGTACCATTAACCCCCGAGCCTTGACTGGCTCGGGAAAGATCGCGGTGTGTCCTGCGCGACCCTATAAGATCGCGCTAGGCTACATTCAACAGGCGGGACACCGCGCGCGATTGTCGCCTTCCTTCGTTAACTCGGGGTCGCCTGACACCACGTTCGGGTCTCTTCCAGTGAGTAATTCTTGCAAAACAAACCAATGTAACATTCTTGTTTGAATGATGTATACGATATTTTTAATTAAATGCATCATTTCGCTTATCGCACGCGAAAAAAAATTGATCGAAAGATCGGTATCGTAAGACGGTGTACGAGCACGACGATAAATCGTCGAGATTTAGACGGAAGTTACGCGATTGTAACCGTAACGTATCTTTCAAAACGCGTATAGAAACGAAGTTCGGTTAAGTGGTGACCCCGCCGGCGCGCAAAACGTCAAATAAACTCCGGGGGGGCAAACGGGTCAAGTAAGGGGACCCCGCGTCTCTCCGTGACAGAAAATCCGGCTTATCCGCCGCCTTCGTCGCGCCGTGGGAGAGCGTGTCGCGTCGGCTACTTCCGGCGCAGTCACGCCGGCTAATCACAAATAATTTATAATTGCCGGGAATGAGGATTATAGAGAGATCGCTGCACTGCACACTTCGTGATAGAGAGCGAGGGCGAGGCGCGCCGCTAAATGGTGGAAATGACTCGGCTAGTTGGCCGTTTCCTCATTTGTCGTCGGCCCCCCGTCGGCGATGGATCGACACCCACGAGTCGATTTAACAGACTTTGCGGAATCCCAGTCCACGCTATATGAGCGCGCGTGCGCGTGAGAGAGAGACAAGGACCGCCACCCAGAAGATGTGTATGAGAGACGCGACGAGATCGTGATACGTCGTCGTGGATGCCGCGTAAATGGCTCGCATCCTCCACCCACGCGCGTCATCCTCGCGCGAGACGCTCGGTCTCTTCCTCTCCCAGAAGGACGTCGCCCAGGCGCGTTTCCGCGCGAATCACGATCATGCCGCTCGAAAGACACGGGATTCGAATAAGTACATATCGGAGAAATCGCGTTTTTTTTTAATTTTAAAGTTGTTTTATAAATTTAAATACCTGTCTTCAGAAAATAAATGCAATTAATAAAAGTAAAAAATAAAATTTTTACATACAATTTTCAAGATGAAGCATGTATTTGTATATCGTGTAAACAGACGTGGTTCATATTCCAAGAGAGACAAGGGACTCTTATTTTTTTTTCACGTTGCGCAACACGCGAGCACCTATTGAGGCGTTCGCCCAATTGGCACTGCGACTGACTCACGCGTTCCGATGACTCTTCGAGTGGACGCTGAGAAGAGCTACAGTGGAGAAAGGCTGTCTAGGTGTGGAGGAACGTGAACTGCGCGTGCAACAGAAGCACTAGAGAAGCATTTTGGCAAATTAACCTATTAATAGAAAACGTATTTCGCACCCTTGCTTCAAAAGTGATACAACAAAAAAAAATTAACTGTCAGACTTTTGATGATTGATAAGGCAATATTATTTTACCTAATTTATTCATGGTAATAATTCGGAAATCACGTTTTTCGAATCACTTTTGAAGCAAGGGTGCGATTTGTCGCCTATTATGTAATCGTCATACGTCAAACTTAACGTTGAGCGATTCCCGCAGGAATTCCTAGACACATAGGGCGAAAACGTTCAGCTGGCCCTCAATAGTGTATCTTGAAATAAGTTGAAAATTACAAAAGTCATGAGCACATCCACTAGAATATTTTTAATTTCATATGGCCAATATCTAGTAAATTCGCTCATTTTTGTAATTTTCACGTTTCAAGATACACAATCGATGCCTTGACCTACGGACACTCTACATACCGCACGATATGAGCGAGAGAGCGCGAAATGTCGGGGGTGGCTCGAGGGGGAGAGACCGCTCGGTTCAAAAGAGAGAGACTCTTATTTAGCCCACGGATCGTGTCCGATCGGCGACGATGTGTCATCGAGGCGAAAATAGGCGCATTTAAGCGGCACGGGCTGCCGATGCACGCGTTGGCGACCTGTGCCGGCGCATCGCGCCGCGTCCCCGCTGACGGTCCTGTTGTCGCCTCGTGCCCCCCGGGACTATTTATAGGAGCGCTTCGACGACGCTTATTAATAGGGGCCCGACTTAACGCCTTCGTTAATTGTGACTTATGCCGGATCGCGCGTGCCTCGCGCGGATTTTCGCGCCAGTGGCGTAGGGCGGACCCGCGGCGGCAACGCGTGAACCGAGAAAATAAGGAAAACGTTTAGCTTTTCTTGATCTTCTATCTAGCCTGATTTTCCGACCAGTGTCTCTGTGAGCATTTTTTAAGGACCGATCTCACTATTCTCGATTAACTTGATTGGTCGATTATGTATACAGTAATCGGAGATGATGAGACCGGTTCTAAAGAAACCGAAAGTTTTCTGAATTCTTATGCGATTGCATCGCGTTTCGTTCATTTAATACATGCGAAATGAATGGACTTTATTATGTAAGATTCGAAATCATTGGAGATCTTCCTGACTAATAAATTTGATTTTAGGATCGTCGGGAATATTTTCTTAGTCACTTTGACGATTTCAAAAATTAACGGGACGTCATTGTACCGTACTTTAATTTAATAGGACGTTCAGATTTCGCGCGACCGTTTCGAGCATTGACATTGGTGTTTGACATCAAGCAGCGTCTCGTGCCATAGTTAACTATTCACGCTGTCCACTAGCAATTACGGAGCAAAATTATCGCCGCTGTTACCGAAGACAGAGTTTAATAGCGCGCTCGTCAGAAAACCATTTTGTATCAACTTGTTCCTGGCGATCGTCATTCATCGCAGCACGCTTAAACACGTCCGATGTGAGTGTGATTACATATCGGTTACTTATATCGCACGAGGATGAACATTTGTCACGGGGAGATTCGCGCGCGTAATAATATTTCACGTTATCTTGCCGGATTTAATTTACACGCGGGCGATTTGAGGATTTCAGAGTCCGAAAATCCAATCAGAGAAATATCGAAAGTGAAAGGGAAATAGAAGGCGAGAGGGTAAGCTTTTTTTCAGTTTTTGTTTCCAAGCAAGCGGATTTGCTAGTTGATATAGAGTCATGTGAATGACGCTTGACAATTATATATAAATTTAGGTAAGTTATATTTAAACAAGATTAGAAACGCCAAAGTTATTATATATATTTAAGTTAAAATTAGAATCACGTTATACTTAAGTAGAATAAAATGATGTATCATGTCGCGTTTCAAGGGCTCGGATTCTGCACGTGTAACGCCGCCACGTGTCGGCTTTAACGGAGCGCGATTAGTCAGCAACTTCTGATCGAGGCGAGGGAACCAGAAACAAGAAAAGATAGAAGAAAGAGTGACCACCGCGAGAAGTGTCGATGAAACGAGACGCGATTATAAATGCCTTTTTCGTCATATTGATCGTCGTATCGCAGTGATAATGCTAGGCTGCGACAATAGCTAAATGAATCGCGTACGTATTAAATTCCTTCCTATTATGCGGAAGAAATAAGTACAAGGAATGTGAATAACAGTCAGATAGCGAGAGAGTTGCCTGCTCTAAATCGTGTCCCGAATCAATATAAACTGAATTCCAAATTCGATTTCGAGGCGAGAATCACCTTCGTATCGGGACTTACTAGAGCTTCGATAATATCACCTTTTACATTTTCAATAATTCCAAATAGCCCGAATTTTTGACAAATTCATCAAGTAAAACATTCCTCGCGTGAACCGCAGTTGAAATTCAGCGGTGGTGGCGAATGAAAAGTTGTGGAACGAGATGAAGGGTGCGCGACGATAATGTTAAACTTCGTGGAAAAGTGGCGAAACTTCAGGTATAGATGAAAATCAGACAGATAGAAAAAAGACAACGGGAGAGAAAGAGAGAGAAGTTACGTTCAGACCTTTAGACTTGTGTTGCTCGTCCTGCGACGGTTCCTTGTGCGCGTGGATCTTTCCTATCAGCAATTCCAGCCGTGAACTGTTGCCTTTGAAGAGCATCTTGTCCTTGTTTCCTAGCGTTCACCTCGATCGATCTTCGATTCGTTAACAAAACGTCCACATCACGTGTTCAAATTATTAAATTAAACTATCATCATCGAATCGGATCAATGAATTCTAGATCATAAATCGTAAACATCGAGATCGCCGTTGTTCGAAGTAAGGCAAGTGAAATCGGTGCGGAGAGTACCTGGTGATCCAGTGAATCGGCTGAGGTCACGTCGACCGGATCGATAAGCCCGCTAACAAGGCTGACTGCTGGTAGCAATGAGAATATCAATCCAAATGTCGTTAAAGCATATCGATTAAAATGTCGTTATGAAACTAAACGGCTTCGGATGTCAATTAACTATAACAGCTCACACGATGATCCCGATTTAAGGCACTGTCCATTCGTTCCTGTGATGTCTCTTTAAAATACTTCAAAAAAATTCCCACCGCACATTCTGCACGTCAAATCTCAAGTGACACAGGTGAGCGTTTCTCAAATTCAATTCGATCGTCACAATTTTAGTCCAACTCGTTCGTTAAGTGTCTCTCTCTCTCTCTCTCTCTCTCTCTTTCTCGATCACTTTCTTGGTTCTCCGTTCCGCGATTATTCGTCGAGTGATCAGGCACTTAGGGTACTCCGATGTAACTGTCGTGTTCGCGTCGAGCCTCTTCACCGCTGGATCCTATCGGTCGGGTCGGTTCGGATCCGCGCGAGTCCGGCGGCGATCGAT